AAGAGTTTTTCTTTTCCACCTTTTTATGTTTCTACCTGATTATTCTGTGTCTCCACAGAATCATATATTATTTACTTACTTTTTCTGTCAATTAACAATATAACTTTTAAAAATAGATTATAGATGAATATTTCTCAGTTGCATAAATCTTTTTCCCTGAGTAGGGTGATCAGCTTAACTTTAATACTTAGCTCTATGCAGATAATTCCTAAATATCTATTTAACAACACATTTTCCACACCTGAGTTTCTAGCTTTGTGCTACATATCTCTATGTGCCCCCTTCAAGCACCCTGCTTGCCCTACCATGCTGTAGTGGATACTGTTGTTGCCCTGCCCAGATCCTCTCTACTGGCTGGTGCCCTTTTCAAAGAAAAATTGCCCTTGACTAAATGGGAAGTGCGTCACCAGGCACCCCCATTCTTCTTTCCGCCTCCTCCCACCAGGGAAGACCAAGTCCAATGTCTGACTGATAGAGGGTGTAAGAGACTGGCCCCCTTGCCTCAAGGTGGGATCACCTCTGCTCTACAATTACTGCTTTTCCATGGATTCAGGCAAAAGCTGATCTCCAACTGAGACTACATACTTGCTTGGCTTTTTTTCCCCTGCACCATCCTGTTTCCCTTAATAGCTATTTCCTGAGAGTTCTCCACCAGCAAATCTCTTGAACAAGAATCCCTGTCTCAGGCTCGGCTTAGAATCTGACCTCAGAGAGACACATGCCAAAATTGAGTTTATCAGCTTCTTCTTAAACCTAGTTTTCTTTCTGTAGTTCTAGTCTTTAATAAAGGTATCATCTTCTGATTCTCAAGCTAGAAATCTGGAAGTCATCTTTGACCTCTGCTTGTATTGTTCCTGTATATCAATGGTTCTTAAACTTTTTGTCTCCGGACGTCTTTACACTCTTAAAAATTATCAAGGATATCAAAGACCTTTTGTTTATGTGGGGTAATATCTATCACTATTTACCATATTAGAAATTAAAACGGAAAATATTTTAAATATTTATTAATTTATTTTAAGACAATACAAACCCGCTACAGATAAACATGGAACATTTTACTGAAAAATAACTATTTCTAAACAAAAAATTTAGTCAGAAGAATGGCATTGTTTTAACATTTTTTCAAATCTCTTTAATATCTGGCTTAAAAGAAGTTGGCTGGATTCTCATATTTGATTCTGCTTTCGGTCTGTTGCAGTATTGAAAATCATGTAGCCTCTGGTAAACTCCACTGGATCTCATGAGAAAATGAAAGTGAAAGGGGCATAAAACATCTTAGCATTAATATGAAAATAGTTTTGATGTTGCAGACCCTGTGAAAAGGGCTGAGCCCCTGCACCACACTTTGAGAACCACTGTTGAACATCAGTTGATGAACAAGCCTGTTAATTTTGCCGTGAAATGTTTAGCAACGTAGTCAACCATATGAACTTGAAACTCTCACAACCTGGCTTAAGCTACTTAAAGTGTCTGAGCCTCAGTTTCCTCATCTATAAAATGGAATCATAATCCTCACAGGCCCTTATACTTTTACAGATTACATGATACAGAATGAATAAAACATTTCACATAATCTTCGATACTCAGAAGTGGGATGATTTGGAGGTTGAGAACATAGACTGAGTCTGAATCCTGCCTCTACCACTTACATGCTGTGCAATCTTGAGCAAGTTACTTAGGCCTTTTCTACGTTTTAGTTTATTTGTGTGTAAAGTAAGATAATAATAAGCTTGAGGTCTATATGAGTTAGTATGTGTCAAGTGCTCACAACAGTGCATGGCACATAAGTGTCATGTAAGCATTAGCTATTGTCATTCCTGTTCGTAGTAGTAGTAAGTGCCCTATAAGTGTTAACTAATGATAGTCGTTACTATTTCTTCCTTTCTACGACCTCGTTTATCTTTTCTTGCCTGATTTATATTGTACTATTAATTTATCTCCCTATTTCCATTATTTCCTCTTGCCTATTAACTCTCCATTCTGAAACACAGATATAATTTTATCACTTCATTGAGTAGATACTTCTGTGAGCTTCTTGATGACTTCAAAAAAATAACTAACATCTTAGAATATCACATAGGGCCTTTTCCAATATGGCTCAACCTACCTTTTACCTACCTCTCATACTTTCTGTAGTTCATATCCATTAGCCACTAGGCCTCAACCAACCTTTTATTATCTCCCTCAGGTGCTTTCTCTAGTTCATACCCACTCCACACACACTACCCTCTTTTTGTCCATGACTGTTCTTTCTCAAGACTATCTTTTCCGTCTTTGTTTCGTAAAGCTTCCACTAGTTTTCAAAACCAGCTCATATTTCCTCTGTGAAGCCACATGCCCCCAAATGAAATCTTTCATGCCACAGGCTTAAATTGGGAACTTGCTGGACGTGTAGTTACCCCACTTGGAACAAGAAAGTTTTTGAAAAACCACTCAATCCTAATCCTGATTTTTAATCAGATCATGAATAAATCAGAAGTTCCTAATCAGAGTTCCTTCTTATCATGCCATTCAACTTGACTTGGATTTAAAAGAACTCGAACTGGGGAGTCATTTGTAATGTTTCGTAGCATACACCCCAAGGACAATATGACAATAATTGGGGCTTCTGTGTATTAATATATAAAACTTCAGAGCATTGTTAATCAAGACATTTTTTCTTTCCCTTGAGAGAAAATTCTAATATGTGTCAGGGCTTTGTATTTGTTATTATCAGAGATTCTTAGTAAACAAACTGTGTCGATCAGTTAAGTTTCAGTTCAAATCTCAAACTGTGATTGGTGTTATCAAAAATGGATGGACAGCAAATCTGAACTTTCTCTTGAAAGATTGAAAGCAATTGCTAAAAGATTAATGAGGACAGAGTTCTTCCAGCATAATTTGCGTTGGCTAATGACTAAATTATACCCAACTCTTAAGCATAGGTAGACTTTGCTCTCATCCATTTTCCCTCACCTTGAGATTTTCCATCCCCCTGCCCTCCACTCCCTCTGATCAAAAGAAATGCTTGCTTGTAATGTAGGAAGTGTAAACCTTTCAGTTGGAGATAGAACTTTATATTTGAATTGAAGAGTATTCTGCAATGTTAATGACAACTTTTAGAGAGATCATTGATATTAATAAAATACATCTCCCATGTTTGGGGAAAAAAATCTGTCAAATGAAAACTAAAATTATCAATAGGTACTGATCACTTTGTAATAGCAGTGATGTAGTTGGAACTGCCATTGAGGCAATTATTTTATTTATTTTTAAAATTTGTATTTACTTTTGAAAAGATAATATGTCATATGGAGCAAAGCTTAGGTCACTAGCTATTTCATTTATTCATTTATAAAGCATTTATTGTGCTCCCATGTAACTAGATATGATGATAATACTAGGGATACAAAAACAATAGATCTTTATCTTTAATGGGATTGCCTGTTGTTTTTTTCCCCCTCCATTAGATTGTAAGTTCTATGATAGTGGCAAATACAGTGTATTTTGATTATCCAAAATATATTTATGTAAATTAATCCAATTTTTAAGATATATAATTTAAAAATCATTCTATAGCACTTAAGAATGGCAACAATCAGTATAAAAATTTATAATGGAAGTTTTATTATGGATCATTGGCTGGTGGCTGGTGGTAGATGACAATAATTGATAGATTATTGAATTATCTTCTCTAATAATTTGTTTGAATTTTATTTTCTTTCTTCTATAGCAGTGCCGTCCAAGAAGACTTTTTGTGATAAAGGAAGTGTTCTATATCTGTGCTAATACAGTAGCCACTAGACACTTCTGGCTACTGGGCATTTCAAATGTGGCTAGTGCAACTGAGGAACTGAATTTTTAGTGTTATTTAATTTTAATAAATTTAAATGTAAATAGCCTCATGTTAGCTAATGGCTACTATATTGAACAGTGCAGTTTTATAGTGTCATTAGTTTCTGTCAAACAGTGGTAACAGTTGAATTACACAGATTGTTAGTCTCATTATTTTATTCATGCAAGAACCAGTTTTCAGAACTTTACTTACAGATACCTATAATCAAGGCATTGAGTCTTACTTAAAATTAAATTATAATTAATATTTTTTCAAAGTTCTATTAGAAGGTTGACAAGCTCACTTTTTCCCTTTTTACTGCAGCATTAAGATTGCTAGAAGATTCATTATAATGAATGAATCATTGTCACTAATTTCTGTTTTCATTTTGGTCATGAAGTTCAGTCACTTATCTTCATATGCATTGAATGGGTAAGGGGACCGTTCAGGCTGATGAGGGTAGCAGCAGGTGGTAGGGATCAGCCAGTGAGTGACGATTTTCTGAGGTCATGCATGGGAGTAAATGTAACAAGTGGAATCTGTATTCAGAGTTTAAATCCTTGCTGATTTGGAGGAGGAGCATCTAATGGAGCATAAGCTACCACAAGACACATGCAAAGTTATGATTACTTAGCAAATAAGATAAATTAAGGCAGATCCCAAGTGGGACTTATCCTAGAAGGTGTCCAATCAGAATTATATTTGCAATCACGAAGAGAATGTGATTGTAAGAGCTTTTAATTAATTTAAAAAGAAATTAATAATCGTAATATAAATGGCAAAAATCATGCAGCAATGTTTATAGTAAGAATGTTTTCTAATCAAGATGAAAATATAATTGTTGGACTTTTTCAGATATGCATGCGGTTTTTAATACTCATAATTCGCTCTAATGGTATTAAATCTTTGTTTTTAGAGGATTTGATCTTACTTAGAGAGTGAAATTGAGCAACTTTAAGAGCCCAAGAGATCCTTGATTAGGAAGCTGTGGTGGAGGCACATTTCTGCTAGCCTGAAATCCAGCCATTACATAGAAGAGTCTAACTCCCTTTAGGCTTTAAGCACCTTAAAGCTGATTTGTGTCTGACACTTCCTCTGTGACTCTCCATGTGCCTCTTTAGAGAGACTGCTTCTCTCTGACTCACTTTCTGTTGACACCCTGAAATTCTGTATTTCTCTCCAGGGTGAGCCTGTCACTTTCTGTGAGGAGAGTTTTGTGAAGCATCGCTCAAGTCTGATGAAACAGTTCTTGGAAACTGCAGTTAACCTCCAACTTTTTAAGCAGGTAAGAGTGGATCTCCACATTATCTTCTGTAACAGAAAGTTACAGAAATGGAGCAGAAATGTGTAACACATTTTTATCACTATAAAATTATGTCTAAACCTTGAGTAATATCTTTTATAGAATTTCAAGAAATTTTTCATCCTTTTGTAACTTTATTGCTATTTATGGCATGGTGCCACAGAAATATTATGTAATAATAACTTTCCTATTAAAAAATTCCTCATCGAAAGTGCTAAACTGATGCTCTCACTACGGAACAGTAACCATGTTTGTAAAAAAGCAACATGACTAGTTTTATGTCAGTCATCTTAGAAGGAGTTATTTTGGTATGGTAGGTTGATACAGTAAACAAACTGTATTTTTTATATAGCAGTCCTTGTGTAATCCAGTTTATAAAAATAATTCACGTGTATGTTAACTTTTTAAGCTTTGTGAGACTTTTCATAATCATAAATTCAAAATTCAGAAAAAATTCACAGTCATACTGTGTTTCTTGATTTTTGGCTCAGAAAATTTAATTGCCTTTTCAAAAAGCAGTTGCTTCATGTCAGTAGCTTCACATTAGAAAGTTGAGATGCCCTGCTTCTTTCATTGCACTGTGTGATCATAGCAAGTCTCCTAATTCAGGCTTGTCATAGTTTCTGTTTACATAATTTAAATTAAGTTCTTAACACTTGCTTTTCTTATCCCACATGACAATTTTAAGTTAAAGTTAGCTATGGGAATTCAGCATTTACTGAAGACCTACAGTGTATTGTAAACTGTGCTCAGGGCCAAGATACAAACATGAATAAAAACTCAGTAATGCCCTTGAGAAGCTGACAATCTAACAGAAATTCCTTTGGACTCTTAGGAGAAAAGATACCGTGTAACTTGAAATAAGCTTCAAATTAGTTAAGTAAAGAAATTAGCATGGCGACAAATCCAATACTATTATCTATATTCTGAAGAAGTTTTAAAAAATAATCTTGAGTTAGAATATACTCTGAGGGGGATATAACTGTCTTCCCATATGTGAAGGTTTACCTTAAAGAAAGGATTAAATTTATCTAATACACAGCCTTAAGGAGCAGAACAACGTTTGATAGGTTTCAGGATCAAAGATGTCTTGTGAATTTCCAGAGATGGTATGGGTTACTTTTGGAGCTCTTGTCCCTAGAGAGCTCCAGTATGGACTGAATACTTACAAGGGTTGTAACAAGGATCAAGTGATAGTCTTTATAAATGCTGAAGTATATAGCACAGTGCATCCCAAACTAGTCAACCAATGCATGCTTGTTGAGTTAAATATTAGTACCCTTTTTGTATTTTTATCCGTCAAGAAGAGATAGTACTACCTCCTATTGTCAAAACTGAGTTGTGAAAATCAGATTATATGGGAATGAAAGATTGAATGGGTGGGTAGAATATCTGACTTATTACTTCCCTTTGACCATGAGATTCTGTAACTAGAGTCTTACTATTGGATAAAGTTCAGACACAGTAAACTTTTTTTATGTAGTTACAAAAAGCATATAGTTTTTAGGAGTCAGGTAGAGTTGAGTTAAATCTTGGCTTTATCACTCAATAGCTGCTCGTTCATAAGTACCTGTTTCTTTTTCCTTAAAATAGAAATATCACCACCTACCTCACAGGGTTGTGATAAACTGTGTGAATTAATACATGTACACTCTCAGCACAGTGCACGACACTTTGTAGAAGCTCAATAAATTTTAGTGTCTGCCTCATTCTTAGAGCAATTACATTAACAAAATACGAATCTGTACAGGATTTTTAAAAAATGTAACTTGGTCAAAAAGGCTAAATGTAAAATATGAAAATGGTCAATCAAAGTAGAACCCATTATATGGACAACTTGGATTGTTTTACATGTACCAATTGACCGTGTTCTCAAACTTGATATCACTTTATGATCCTTAAGAAAGTAATACTTGAAGATAGTCCTGAAAAGGACTTAAAAGTCCTTAAAAGATTCTTGTTTTCAGAGTTTCACAAACTTCTAAAGATGAGTAAGTTCTAGAGATCTGCTGTACAACATAGTGCCTATAGTTAACAATAGACTATTGTGCACTTAAACATCTGTTAAAAGGGTGGATCTCATGTTGATGTTCTTACCACAAACAAACAAACAAAAACACAAAGGGACACAATGAAACTTTTGGAGATTATGTAATGTTTATTACTTTGATTGTGTTAATGCTAACAGTAGTGTCTCCATATGTCCAAACTCATTAAATTGTCTACAGTTAATTATATGCAATTCTTTGTATACCAGTTATATGTCACAAAAGCTTGGAGGAAAAAAGGAGAAAAAAAATAAAAACAGGAATCAGTTGGTAAAAAATTATCAATATAGATGAATACTCAAAAGATCAAAATATTGATCTTTCTGAAATAATATAAAAATATTTATTGGGTACAAATAATTAATATTCATTACTATGAATTTGTGATCCATTATAAGTCAAGAAGTACTCAGGTTCTCTCTTTATTTGGCAAGGCTTATGCATCAAAATTGAGACAGCATGGACCCAGAAGAGCAGCATATATTTTTAAGCTAAGAGTTAAGGGGAACTGTTATTCCTGATAATATGACAGGGAAGGATCCAGCGATAACTTATGTACTGAAAAAATTTAATTCGCAGGATTTAAAAAACTTCTTGTGATGAGGAGGCACAGGAGACAAAGCCCAGTGCTTACTTTCCAAGATGAGAAGTGTAATAGGAGACCCTACTCCCATAAATCTGGGTTGACTTAGTGTGAAAGTAAACAAGAAGTAATGGTGCCCCTTCCCTTAACCCATTTCCTGGGGGCTGTACATCTGCAGCACTGGTACTGACTGGAGAGAAGAAAAAGTGCCGCTGAGGAGTAACCACACACCAGCCTGTGCAGGAATTTGAAGCCTGAATTAATAATTTCTGATTTGGTCTGACAAACTTAAGCCAACTTTAAAGTGACCCTAAACTGTTAGTGTCCTCAGGCCCCAGGCAGAGGCAAACACTCATCCTCTCTTGAGGACTCCACCTTCATCCAGGTGTCAAAGAATTCTCCCAGCTAAAATGCCAATGAAATTTCCCTGTGAAAAATCATTAAATATACAAGGAAACAAATCATGAATAAAAACTAGTAGAAGCAGCTGACAGAAACTGACTTGCAAAGACTTCAAATATGATAATTATTAGAAATAGAATATAAGATAGCTATGTTTAAGGTGTTCAGAGAAATAAAAGACAAGCTTTAAAAATGTTCAGGGCCTAAAAACTTGAAAGAATGTGAAGCCAGTTTTAAGAATGTATCGGGGCCAGCCCTGTGGCTTAGCGGTTAAGTGCGCGCTCTCCGCTACTGGCGGCCTGGGTTCGGATCCCGGGCGCGCACCGACACACTGCTTCTCCGGCCATGCTGAGGCTGCGCCCCACATACAGCAACTAGAAGGATGTGCAGCTATGACATACAACTATCTACTGGGGCTTTGGGGAGAAAAAAGAGGAGGATTGGCAATAGATGTTACCTCAGGGCCAGTCTTCCTCAGCAAAAAGAGGAGGATTAGCATGGATGTTAGCTCAGGGCTGATCTTCCTCACAAAAAAAAAAAAAAAAGGAATGTATCAAACTTTTGTTAAGGAAGCATGTCATTTAAATTAAAGGAAATTGATGGATTTAACAGCTCATCAGATCTAACTGAAGAGAGATTTGCTAAACTGGAAGATATGTCTGAAAAAGAAATTATCCAGAATATGGTACAGAGAGATGACAAAGTAGAAAATACGAGAAGTTAATAGACGTAAATGGTGGGGTGAAAATGTGTAAAATCCATATAATCAGTTCCAAAAGGAGGGGACAGAAAATGGAGGAGAGACAGTAATTGAAAGGATAGTCCTGGAACCAATGAATACACATTTTAGAAATTTAAGAAGTCCAACATATCCAAACTGAATAAATAAAAAGAAATCTACACCCAAACAGTATATTAAGCTCTGAAACATTAAATAAAATAAAGAGGGAAAATTTAAAGACCAACAAGAGAGAAAAGACAGATTACTTTCAAAGGAACAACCTACTGACAGCTGATTTCATATCAGCAACAATGGAATCTAGAAGATACTGCCGTATCTTCAGTGTGTTGAGAAAAAATACCTAGAATTCTATGCCAGCTATAATACCTCTTAATTATAAGAGTGACATGGAAACGTTTCCCAGCAAAACCTGAGCTGGCTCCTTGTGTTGGCTTTGTGGATGTGTCTGCTTGGCTAGGCTACAGTCCCAAGTTATTCAATGAAATGCTAATCTAGGTGTTCCTGTAAAGGTATTTTTACATATACAATGAAAGCCTCTAATCATTTGACTTTAAATAAGGAAGGTTATCCTAGATGATCTGAGTAGGCCTGTCTGAATCAGTTGGAAGGCCTTAAAAACAGGACTGAGGTTTCCCTGAGAGAGAAAAGAAATCCCACCTGTGAATGACAGCTTCGTCCTCTGCCTGTGGGTTTGGCCTGCCCATGATTTTTCCTAGCTTGCTGCCCATTGTATGAATTTCTGACTTGCTTTTCCAACCGCATAATCATGTAAGCCAATTCCTTAGAAAAATCTCATATGTATATATGTACCTGTTTGTCTGTCTGTCTGTCAAATCTCCTACTTGTTCTGCATCTCTGGTTGAACCCTGACTACTACACCAACAGCAGAAAGAAATCCTTAAGGAAGTACTTTAAGAAAGTACTTCAAGGAGAAAGAAAGTTTTCTCAGATCTAAAGATGGAAGGTCTGAGATACAAGAAGGAAGGAAGAACAAAATAAATAGTAAATATGTGGATTAAATTTAAACAGTATTTACTATATAAGACAGGCAAGTTCTTCCACATGTTCAAGAGTCAAATGGTTCCAATTCAAATTCCAGAGAATTCCTGTTTTGATTATAGCAAAAAAGAGACACTCTTCAAGTTATTTTGTAAGGCTAAGATACTCTTGATTCCAAAACCTAAGACTGCATGAGAAGAGAACATTA